GACATGATGATGTTGGTAGTTCTTTTTTAATTCCTTTCCTAGTGACCTTCTAGATGGATTTGCCATTTTCACACATTTCCTAGATTGGTCAATGTTTTCAGCAAACTACTCAGTCAGGACTTTGATTTACGCCAGTCCTATGAACAAGAAGCCACCAAGTTACCTTGTCATCAATAGGCCTTTTCCAGTCTAGCGGATTCAGGGCCATGGCTTTCCTTTTTGAATCTATTAATTTGTATTGTGATCTTCCCCTTTTCCTTCTGCCTTCTACACTTACCAAATATTGTTATATTTTCCAGTAGGTCATCTTTGCCCACTACATGTTTAAAGTACAACAACCAGACTTCAGTCATCTTGGCTTATATGGAGAGTTCAGGCTTGATTTGCCAAAGGACCCATTTATTTGTCTTTTTGCCAGTCTACCAGTATCCACAGTATCCAAAACCACATTTCAAATGAATTGATTTTCTTCCTACTAGCTTTCTTCACTGTCCAGCTTTCACAACCATACATAGACATGGAAAATACAATGGCATGGGACATCCTGGCCTTTGTTTTCAGTACAATATCTTGACATCTCAGGATCATATCTAGTTCCTTCATATCTGCCCTTCCAAGTATGACTGTCCAAAAATGATAGCAGTGGGTTTAGTCCTGCTAAGTTCAAGGAGACAGTGTTGAGAGAGTCCAGGTTTGCAGCCTAAGTATTTGGGGAACTGGGGAGCACGGCTTGATTCATCAAAGCCACAGATCATGATAGATAGATTAGAGATAGAGGGATGTTAGATTCAAAATCATAAGCACTTGTTGAGATTTCTCCAAGGCATCCCAGGCTGGCAAAAGTACAGATCATGATAGATAGATAGATGATAGATAGATAGATAGATAGATAGATAGATAGATAGATAGATAGATGATTGATGATAATGAGATGAGAGATAGATAGAAAATAGGTAGATGACAGATAAAAAATAGAAAGTTGACAGTGTTCAGTTCTCGCACTAACTATTAATCTGGAAGATATTGTGGTACAGGGAACAAATTGGAAACTATATTATTAACAGACAAACTTAAACTTTCCTCCTGGGTATTACTATAAAGTCTCTCTGAGGAAAGGAAACTTCTTGGGGTATGTACACAGTTCTGGTTCTTGGATCTTTTCTCTTTCTTAATGACTGTTGCTTGTAGTTGTCTGTTTGTCTCTTAGATGTTATAGATGTTGACTTGACTTGATGTTACTTTACTATATAACTTCAACGTGACATGTTCACTATACAGCTCATGACGTGTTATTTTACCATATAGTTCCAATGTGATGTGTTATTTTACTATATAGCTTCGATGCAACATGTTATTTTACTATATAACTCCAACATATAGTAACAGCACCCCCTGTGGCCAGAATCGAACACAACCTCCAGGACCCCGAAGTTGGGAAAATGCCTACATCATACCTCTCTCTGTTGTCTGTTCTTTCTGAATGTTGTGTATGTGTTCTGTCGTGTATTGTCGTGTATTGAATGTTGTGTATGTGTTCTGTGATCCATCCTGAGTCCCCTTTGAGAAGGGCAAAATTTAAATGTTGTAAATAAATAGATTATAAACAGATGACAGAGATATATGATGGAAAAATGATAGACAGTTGGTTGACAGGTAGATATGTAGATGTTAAAGAGATTTGCCTAGGCTGGCAAAGGCAGAGATCACAGTAGAGAGATGACAGATAGACAGATTGGTGACAAATGACAGACAGATACAGATAGATGTGAAGGAGTCATGGATATGTAAGATTTCATAAATGCTATATGTGACTGTAGGTCTCATCATAAAGCACATGCAGGCCAAAATCTGACTTTGGGAAGCAGCTGCCATTGAAATTTTAAAGGAGTGATTCTCATGCTATTCTCCCTTTTAGTTCTCACAGTTTACGGTGTTCACTTTGTAACTAAGAGATAAGCCGGTGCCGCCTGGACGCATCTCAGCAAGATATGAAAAGTGTAGCTTATTCCAGATTTCATTGCTTTGCACCTGTTTGCTTGAGGGCCAATCAGAATGTATTAAGTAAGCTTAGACCAATTAAGATGAACGATGTACAAGACCAATGTGCCTTTTGGATTTCTGTGAAACAGTAAAACCCCGCAGCCCCATTTTGGGGTGCAGTAGTCTTATTATGCCTAGAGTGCAGCTGCTGCCATTTGCACGGCCGGCAAATAAAAGCTAATCTTCAGAGAGATTCAACTCGTGAGTGTGTCATTCCATTTCATCCTCCTGGGTCAGAAGAGGACTCCTGAGAACGTGCAAAGTGCATGCCCCTTTAGATGGGTGGATTATGTGTAGATAACAGATAGATCAGGCATGGGCAAACTTCGGTAGGTTGTTAGGAATTGTGGGAGTTGAAGTCCAAAACACGTGGAGGGCCGACGTCTGCCCATGTCTGAGATAGAGGATAGCCAGAGAGATGATAGAGAATAGATAGAAAGATAGATGACAGAAAGAGAGAGATGGAAAATGAGTTTAACTGGAAGACTGGGTGAGTTGTGTTCGGAGAAAAGGAGGCTGAGGGTTAGAATTCAATTTGAACATGATAGCCATGTTTATATAGTATTACAGTGTATATATAGTACAATATATTACAATATAGTACAATATAGTAATATATAATACTAACATTGTGCTGTGTTAATAATATAATATATTGTATACACATATAATATTGATAATATTACAATGTAATACAATATAATACTAATAATACAATATAATATTTTTTATATTTCATATTACTAATATTACAGTATAGTGGTGTAGTACAATATAGTAATCTATATAAATAAATATGTAATGTTCGTTTGTGGGATTAAGAGAACTCCAAAACCACTGGACGAAATGCTGCCAAATTTGGCCACAAGACACCTCCTAACCCAAGGAGTGACTATCACTAAAAAAAATAATTTTGTCATTTGGGAGTTGTAGTTGCTGGGATTTATAGTTTACCTACAATCAAAGAGTATTCTGAACTCCACCAATGATGGAATTGAACCAAACATGGCACACAGAACTCCCGTGACCAATATGGGCATTGACCTTGAGTTTGGGAGTTGTAGTTCACCTCAGTTCAGAGAGCACTGTGGACTCAAACAATGATGGATCTGGACCAAACTTGGCACAAATACTCCATATGCCCAAATATGAATACAAATGGAGTTTGGGGGAAATAGACCTTGACATTTGGGAGTTGTAGTTACTGGGATTTATAGTTCACCTATAATCAAAGAGCATTCTGAACCTCACCAACAACAGAATTGGAGCAAACTTCCCACACAGAACCCCCATGAACAAAAGAAAATACTTAAGGCCACCCAATTCAACTCCCTTCACCAGGGCAAGAAAACATATTCAAAGCCCTCCTGAGAAAGAGCCATCCAGCCATAGATATAGATAGATAGATATGATTCACTCACACACACAGATATAGTATCATAGATTTGAAAGGGACCCCTGAAGAAGGACAACTATATGTTGCATGTTCCTGAACAGGCAAATCAGACAATCTCCACATCAACACTGGCAAAGAAACAACACTGTTTTACCCACAAGGATAAAGGAATTACATATATTAGAAACCAACGCTTTCTCATTACTTTATTTTCCAGAACATCAGACTGGGCCACAGCAACGCCTGGCAGGGTATGGCTAGTATATAATACTAATATTGTGCTATGCTAAAAATATAATATATTGTATTTACATATAACTTGTAAGCCGCTCTGCGTCCCCTTCAGGATGAGAAGGGCAGCATATAAATGTCATAAATAAATAAATATATAATGTTATTGGTGCAGGGGGAATAATAAATAAAGAAATAAATAAATGTTACTGGCGCAGTGCGGCAAACTGCTGAGCTGCTAAACTTGTTGACTGAAAGGTTGCAGGTTCGAATCCGAGGAGCGGCATGAACTTCCACTGTCAGCTCCAGCTTCTGCCAACCTAGCAGTTCGAAAACATGCAAATGTGAGAAGATCAATAGGTGGGAAGGTAACGGCGCTCCATGCGGTCATACTGGCCACATGACCTTGGAGGTGTCTATAGACAACAGCGGCTCTTTGGCTTAGAAATGGAGATGAGCACCAACCTCCAGAGTCGGGCACAACTGGACTTCATGTTAGGGGAAAACCTTTACCTTTTTACCTAGTGATAAAAAACCATTGTTAGTTGTTGAGACTCATCCAAGCTTGTTGTTGTTCATTCATTTAGTCATCTCCAACTCTTTGGAACTCACTCCCCGGGGAAATGGGGAGTTCACCTATGGAACTCACTCCCCGGGGAAATTAGATCGGCGACATCCCTCCTTTCCTTCAGAAGGCAATTGAAGACATGGATTTGGGACCAGGCGTTTGGGCAATCTGGCAGATAAATAAAGGACTATGACGACGGATAGGAATAGACAATGTGGAATGAAGTATGGACTCTGAGTTGGCGAACGCTGAGTATGACATTGGTTATTGATTGTGATAAATATTGATTGTTTTAATTGTTATAACTGTTTAATTGCTGTTTTTATGCATTTTTGTATCACTGTGTAGACATTGAATTGTGCCTGTCTGTAAGCCGCCCTGAGTCCCCTGGGTTGAGAAGGGTGGGGTAGAAGTACACGAAATAAATAAATAAATAAGTGACCTCATGGGCCAGCCCACGCCAGAGCTCCCTGTCGGCCGTCACTACCCCCAGCTCCTTCAAGGTTAATCCAGTCACTTCGTGGATGCCATCCATCCATCTTGCCCTTGGTCGGCCCCTCTTCCTTTTTTCCTTCCATTCCCCCCAGCATCATGGTCTTCTGTAAGCTTTCCTTTCTTCTCATGATGTGGCCAAAGTACTTTCATCCAAGCAAGGTAGAGAGAGAGAGAGATGACAGGCAAAGAATAGGCGGCAGACCAACCCAGGAAATGATCACACTGCCAAGTTCAGGAGAAAGGGAGGGGGCAAAGGCTTTCCCCGTGGCCTCTTCCTCCTTCCCTCCCTCCCTCCCTCCCTGCCTCCACGTCACGCCCAGCACCACGATGCGGTTCATTCCGTGGACATTTCGAGGAAGCCCGTCGATTTAAGGAGAGGAGAAGCCTGTGCAACGGAAGCCAAGCGGCACGGTCAGCTGACGGCCAGGGAAGGAAGAAAGGGAGGGAGGGAAGGAGAGAGAGAGAGAGAGAGAAAGAGAAAGCCGGCCGTTGGCGGATGCCTGTCCTTGGCGGGGCGGCGGTGGCGGCGGCGGGGTCTCCGCTGAGGCTGCTCTTCTCCTTCCTCCTCCTCTCCCTCCTCCTCCTCCTGCCGGGATGCTCCTCCGCCCGCTATGAGCCCACCTGGGAGTCCCTGGACTCGCGTCCGCTCCCGGCCTGGTTCGACGGCGCCAAGCTGGGCATCTTCATCCACTGGGGGCTCTTCTCCGTGCCCAGCTTCGGGAGCGAGTGGTTCTGGTGAGCTCCCCTTCCCACGCCTCCTCTTCTCTAGTCTGCATCTTGCCAACTTGGGCCCTTCCTCCAGGTGTTTTGGACCCCAACTCCCACAATTCCTAACAGCCTACCGGCTGTTAGGAATTGTGGGAGTTGAGGTCCAAAACACCTGGAGGGAGGCCCCAAGTTTGCCCAGGTCTGATCGAGAGTCATTGGTGCGCCCCCTTCTTTATGCGAGCTTTTGAAACACACATTTCCTCTCTAGGCAAAGTTTGTATCTTTTTTAAATCAGTGGTTCCCAACCTTTATTTGACCAGGGACCATTTTGACCCTCCAACATTAGTACCAAAAGGGTTTCGAATCAGATTTAGATTCGGTTTGGTGATTTGGGATGCTGATTCAGAAAATCGTATTGGATAGACCACATCAGCTCTAGTTTCTGATACAGGACATATGCCACCCAGTAGTCGCCATCTGCTCACCCACAGAAACCTTAATAATCGAGCACTGATGTGGTAGTAGTAATCTTTCATGGGTGATCAGCCTATCCCCTCCTGACATCCCCCTTTTTTTATCATGTCAGGAGCGACCTGAGAAACTGCAAGTCGCTTCTGGTATGAGAGAATTGGCCGTCTGCAAGGATGTTGCCCAGGGGACGCCCGGATGATTTGATGTTTTATCATCCTTGTAGTAGGCTTCTCTTATGTCCCCGCATGAGGAGCTGGAACTGATAGAGGGAGCTCATCTGCCTCTCCCTGGATTTGAACCTGCGACCTGTCGGTCTTCAGTCCTGCCAGCTCAGGGGTTTAACTCACTGCACCACCGCGGGCTCCTGACATCCCCATTAGACAAGTCGATCTCATTGCCCCATGGTTTCGAGGCAACGATGTAGTAATGGTGAGGCCGCGGATCATATTTTCGTTCTTGTGGACAACAAGTGGTCCATGGACAACAGGTTGGGAACCACTGTTTTAAAGCATGGAGAGGAAAAACAGGTCAAGGTTTAGAGTCGCCCAGGGATCATGCTATCGTAAGGCTCAAAGCCAGCCTTAAAAACTCTGGCATAGACACTGAGAACTGGGAAGCCCTGGCCTGTGAGTGCTCCAGCTGGAGGTCAGCTGTGACCAGCAGTGCTGCAGAATTTGAAGAGGCATGAATGGTGGGTGAAAGAGAGAAATGTGCCAAGAGGAAGGCTCGTTAAGCCAACCCCAACCGGGACTGCCTTCTACCTGGAAACCAATGCCCTCACTGCAGGAGAAGATGCAGATCAAGAAAAGGGCTCCATAGTCACCTACGGACCCACCCTGGAAGATTATCCTACTTGGACAATAAGGGTTCACCTAACTAAGTAAGTTAAGGTGTAGAGGAAGTGCCTTCCACGAATCCTGAGCTCAATATAAACAACAAAGCCAACAAAAGGGAACAAGTTGGTCGCTGATATAAGAACACATGCTCTCTCACACACAAAACACCTTTGAAAACTCACCTGTCTCCACCCAACCTCAAGGTGGATTAGAAGAGAGCAGTTAGGTTGTTTTGGTGCCACTGACAAAGGACATTATTGCATTGGGTGTGTATTTATGGCGGTGGAACAGCATAAATGCACTCCTTATCACGCAATGTCCTTAGATACCAGTGACATTTCAGATTTCTCCCTTCTTGTTTTGTTTCATGGAGGAAACCTGTGAATAGGCTCTTAAATTCAATTATTCCTTTCGGAAAGTGCCTGGCAGTCAGCAGTTAGTATTGACATTTAGAAGGGCTGTCAGGGGTGATTTGAATGCAATATTCCTGCTTCTTGGCAGGGGGTTGGACTGGATGGCCCATGAGGTCTCTTCCAACTCTTTGATTCTATGATTCTATGATATTATAAACTTACTTAGGAGTGTGTTTTCAAAGGCTGGATATAAATTGACTTGGGAGTGTGTTGTTGAGGGCTTTTATGGCTGGAATCACTAGATTGCTGTGAGTTTTCCGGGCTGTATGTTACAGAAGCATTCTCTCCTCACATTTTGCCTGCATCTATGGCAGGCATTCTCAGAGATTGTGAGGTCTGTTGGAAACTAGGCAAATGGGGTTTACTTGGGAGTCTTTAAAGGGTTTATGCCAGTGGATGAGCACTTGCCCTCCCTAAAGAAATTAGATTAGCTCCCTTTCTTCAGGCTTTCCGGGTGAGTCTATAAACATGGCTCTTCAGTCAGGTCTTTGATCCTGAGTAATCCAAGGTCATTGTGATGAATCATTGATAGTTTTGTCCGCACTTTGACTGTTATGACAGATAGCTGGCTTACCCAGAGGTTCTACGGTGTTTTAGGAATTTCATAATTTTATATTTTTATAATTTTATCAGTGATATTTTTATATGTTGTTGACATATTATACTTATGTCATTGTATGTATACTTATGTATTGTTGTCTGTCCAGGGACTCCATAAGATCCACTTTTCAGCAACCATGTATAGTGACTTCCTTAGCAAAATGTTTCTTCTTTTTAACAGTGTTTCTATACAACAAAGGGACCCAGATATAAATATTGCCAAAATAAGTTTTCTTTACATTTGTGTTTATTTTTCAGTCTGCCAAAAATGCCTCTTCCAAAAGAAAGGGAACTCAGACTCCTTCAAATACCAGCTGTAGTTCAAACACATTTCTTACACACAGTTGTGTTTTTTAAAATATTGGAATGGTGGAAGAGCAAATGACAAGGACGACGCAGATAATTTAAGTAGGAAGGAAAGGGACAAAATATCTGTAGGAAGATGGATAAAGAACTCTGGAGACTCAGGAAAACCTGCTCTGTCCTAAAGCTTGTATTATATACAACTGTGTTTTCAAATTTTTTAAAGAGCGTGACACTCAGAACACTATTTTTTGTTGAGAGAATAACTTCAGGGTCACATCATGGCTGGTGTTGTCTAGGTGCTTGAGTATGGTAAACCAATGATGTTAAATGATGCATGCCAGATGTTTTGGTCAGCTGTTTATTTGGGACGTTTTTACATCCCAAATAAACCTCCACTGCTGCTTTTCACATTGGTGTGCAGATACTCAGGATGTTTTCTTTTGTAGGTGGTATTGGCAGAAAGAAAAGAGAGAAGCCTATGTAACATTTATGACAAAAAACTACCGTCCTGGATTCACATATGAAGATTTTGGCCCATTGTTTACAGCTGAGTTTTTTGATGCCAACCAATGGGCAGACATTTTGAGTGCTTCTGGTGCCAGATACGTTGTCTTGACTTCAAAACACCATGAAGGTAAATTGACTATTTTCCCTGCAGAGGAAGAGCCTTTACACAGCTACATAGAATATAATAATTTCAAGCCTTACATAGGAGTATGTTACCGATAATGGTGATGGGTCATATTAACTTTTCTCAAAGGTGGATGCTGTAGGAAGGTGATCACATTTTATTGTCTTAACTACCTTGTCATCACATTTTATCTCCATGAACAACTCAAGCTTATATTGAGAGAGTAACTCATCCATTGCTCTCTAATGTGTTTAATGGATAGAGTTTAGATCATCTTGCAGTGTGTCTGGTGCTTTTCTCATTATATCATGCAGATTTCTTTGCCTTTGTATTGTCGAAGGCTTTCATGGCCGGAATCACTGGGTTGTTGTAGGTTTTCCGGGCTATATGGCCATGTTCTGGAGGCAATTTTTCTCCTGACGTTTCGCCTGCATCTATGGCAAGCATCCTCAGAGGTAGTGAGGTCTGTTGGAAGTAGGAAAAATGGTTTATATATCGGGGGGGGGGGGGGGGGGGGTGAGTCTGAGTGAAAGAGGGTCTAGCCTAGCAAACCTTTTGTATCATTACCCCAATACCCCCATGCATATGGGATATATTGAGTATGGTGATCAGATCATGATATGAATAAACATAACAGTTTAAATAATGCACCAGTAAGGCATTTTCGTGAACCATCATGAGAATTTCGGGGAGGGGGGCATGAAGCCCCTCAAGCCCCCCCCCCCCCGGCTACATGCCTGCTGCTGGGGCTAGCTGTGAATGTTTCAGCTGATCACCTTGATTTGCATTCAATGGCTTGGAAGTGCCTGAGGGGAATCTCTTGTTGAGAGTGATTTTATGTGCCTGTTTGTTTCCCCTCTGTTGTTTTGCTGTTGTAATTTTTGAGTTTTTTAATACTGGTAGCCAGATTTTGTTCATTTGCCTTTGTTGCTATTGTGTGCCTTCAGGATACTTCTGACTTAATACAATCCTGGGGTGACACTATCGTGAGATTTTCTTGGCCAGATTTATTTGGAGAGGCTTGCCATTACTTTCCTCAGAGGCTGAGAGAGCATGTCTTGTCCAAGGTCATCCAATGGGTCTTTATGACTAGGGAGGAAATTGCAGACTCTGGAGTACATCCTACTTTCTCCCCCCTAATTTTCATTTTCTAGGTTTTACTTTGTGGGGATCGAAATATTCATGGGCTTGGAATGCTGTTGATGTTGGACCAAGGCGTGACATTGTGGCCGAGTTAGCATCATCCATTAGAAACAGGACTACCTTACACTTTGGGCTATACCACTCCCTGTTTGAATGGTTCAATCCTCTCTTTCTTGATGATGCTGCCAGCGTGTTCACGAAAAATCAGTTTCCATGTCACAAGACGCTCCCAGAGTTGTATGAAATTGTGAACAAGTACCACCCAGAGATCCTGTGGTCAGATGGAGATGGGGATGCTCCAGACACCTATTGGAACAGCACTGGCTTCCTAGCATGGCTTTATAATGACAGGTAGGTCTTTTTTTCTTATGGGAAGTCACAAGTGTAGCAAATAAACCTTCACTGCTGCTTATCATAACACTGGCCAACACACATTTTGTTGCCTCATATGTTAGACTTGTTTCTGGGTATATTTGACCTGCTGATTCTAAATACGGCTGCAATTTCCCCCATCAGCTTTTGAGATGCAGAACATATGCCATCTACCAGGCATCATCTGCTATTCTATAGAAAATCATGATAACCATATTTAAGAAAAAAGAGCTAATGTGGTCTAGCAAATAACATTTTCTGAACCATCCCAAATAAACCCAAGAACAGGCCACAAATCAAGACATCAAGAATTGTTTTTTGTTGGGCTTTGTAATTTTTTTTGTAAATCTCATTTCAACAATAGTGCTCTACTTTGTCCTGTTTGCATTTGCCCTTGGAAGTTAAGCAGGGTCAATCCTGGTTAGTACTTGGGTAAGAGATCACTACTAATACGAGGAGCTGTAGGCTATATTTCAGAGGAAGGGATTGGCAAAATCACATCTGAGTATTCCTTGCCTAAGAAAACTCTATGAAAATTCATGGACTTACCAGAAGCTGATTGGTGACTTGAAGGCCCATTAACACACACTGACAAAGTCACAGTCAGTTCACTTTTTTTTCTTTTTTGAGAACGGTTTTGAGTTGCACTGCTAATAATTAATTGATTATACAGAATGTGATTATGATCAATGTAGTATAGAGAAAGTGGTGGGAGGGAGAGAGAATGGGCCATTTTATATTATTTCCTTTCTGTTTTAAATGGCCTCTTGAGTACTAACAAGAAGATTGGAATCCTAAATAATTTGAAGCAGTAGTTATACAATACCACAGTAAACAGTATTGGAAAGTATAACAAGGTAACAATAAGGATTTTTTATAAACTGGAGACACTATCTACTATCTAGAGGAAGATGCATGCAGCAAGGCTATACTACTCTGCTGTTGTTGTTGTTGTGCACCCTCAATCTCCCTACTAGCAACTACTAGAAGGAAAGAGGCCTCTCTACTAATATTTTTTTTTATTTCCCATAGCCAGTGGTAGAAGGTCCACACAAACTTGGGATTCTGGACTGCAAGCACAATATATTGATTAATAATGTGATTGGTATTTTTCAGCCCTGTTCGGGACAAAATAGTTACAAATGATCGCTGGGGAGCTGGCACTATTTGTAAACATGGAGGATATTATACTTGCGCTGATCGCTACAATCCAGGACACCTTTTGTCTCATAAATGGGAAAACTGCATGACAATTGATAAGCAGTCGTGGGGATACCGTAGGAATGCACAGTTGAGTGATTACCTGACGGCTGAAGAGCTCATTAAGGTAAAATGAGACAAAGACAGAATTGGATAATTGTGAGTTGTCTGTTCTGTTTTAAAGAAAATAACCAGAGTTTAATGTTTTCCTGTGCATATATGTTATAAAAAGTTTTATATTGTTTAAAGTCATTAAAGTATATTAGTTTCTATGTGTTCTTTTAAATCTTACAGGTTTTTTTAATAATCTTATGAGATTCTGTTTGTGGTGGTGGCTCCTTTGGAGACTTTTAAATAGAGGCAGGATGGCTACCTGTCGGGGGTGCTTTGATTGTGCTTTTCCTGCATGGCAGGGATTGGACTGGATGGGCCCCTGTGGTCTCTTCCAACTTTATTATTCTATGATTTTATTTTGAACCATATTGTACACTAAAAAGGATGACATACAAGTACTTTACAATTAAAATCTCTTTCTCCAGCTTTTTAAATGAAAATCTTTATTAAATCATGGAACTGTCATAGGTTTTCTACAAATAGACTTCCTGAGTAAGAAACAAGAAAAAACAAACCCCCACATACGTGCACCTTTATGTCCCTACAACCACAGGTCTTAGTTATGACGCTTTGATAAAATAATTGAATTATAAAAGGATGTGTGTGCATAATTTGGAAAAATAATAATTTATTCTAAATGTTAACAAAAATGATTATGGAAACCACAGAAGAGGCATCTTTGCTTGACCATCTGAAACTATAGCAGAGATGGGCAATGTATATTTCTCCAGATGTTAGATTACAACCTCCATGAGCCCAAAAGCATAGCCAGTCTGAGGAATCCCTCATTCAATCAAGATCTGTTTCCCTTTCTGATTTAATGTAAAGTTCTGGCATTGTTATATAGAAACATGAATAGCCCTTATCAGTTTACTGGCTAGAATCCTATTGGGGACTTGTGTCTGTGAGGATTAGGATTGGACAGTTCTGTAAGGTAATGTCTGTATTCAGAAAGGGGCTGCCAATATGTTAGGGAGCTGGTAAAGTGACCAATGCACATTGAAACCATTATGTCTTGGAACCCCCTGCTAGAGAGTAATGAAGCGCATTGCTACAACCTAATGTGCACTGGAACATACTTGCTGGTGTCCATAACACACTTTCAGAATTCATGAATAGGGTTTCTTAGGATTTCTGCTACGTAGCTAAGTATCCCACTGTTTTTAATTGTGTGTTGTCTTACTGTTCATGTTGCATATTTTATTGTCTATGTGTTTTTTTTATTTTAATTGCTTGTACTGTTGTTATTTTGCTTGTATTGTTGTATTCTGGCTCGGCCTCATGTAAGCCACACCGAGTCCCCTGGGGAGATGGTAGCGGGGTACAAATAAAGTATTATTATTATTATTATTATTATTATTATTATTATTATTATTATTATTTATAAAGTTACATAATGTAGACTGTGACAGAGGATTCCACCTGCTGCCTTTAAAATGGTTTAAATGGTTCAGACTTTAGATAGCTACATTCATCATTCATTTTGCACTGTGGTTTTATTTTTATTTCTGTTCCCAAAATAATTTCAGGAACTTGTGGAAACAGTATCATGTGGGGGAAATCTCTTGGTGAATGTTGGGCCCACTCACGATGGTCGTATTCCTGTCATTTTTGAAGAGCGCCTGAGACAGATGGGGACCTGGTTGGCAATAAATGAGAATGGCATTTTCAACACTCAACCTTGGAGAGCCCAGAACGATAGTTCCACCCCAGGAGTATGGTACATCCATGGAACAAACAAATAAAACTGCAGAAAATACATGCCAAGTATTAAAGAGTTTTTATATAGGAGTTACAGTTTTATGTTACAGTTTTAAATATCCTTATTTACTTATTGAAAATTATGCACCTTCATAAGCAAGCATAATATTTAATGGAATATCTCAGTCTTTTGGGACCAGTAGGTGTGAACCAGAGGGTGATAATCATGGTAACTGTTCTGGAGTAAGAATGCATGTAACTTTAGACAAAAAACCCCTTCTGGTGATAATATTTGTTAAAAATGGCTGAACAAATCCACTGAATGGTGAAATTAATTTCTGTAAATACCCCCCCACACACAAAAAGATTTTTTTTACTGTGCCTGTCCTCCCACCCTACACTGGGCCATCCACCATTAACTGCTTGGGGTGGATGAGGAGGACATCCTAGTTGGACTCTCCTCCTGTAGAGACATTTGTCACCAACTGTCCAGCTGGAAGGATCTTAATTATTTTATATGTTTACTTTTTAATTTATTAATATGTGTTGATGTGACTTGTAAGTTGCCCGGGAGGGTTTATACCAGGCATGGGCAAACTTTCTAACTTGGGAGCTGTGTGGTGGGCTGGAGCTGGGTGGGCGGCCCAGGAGTGAGGGGGTTCTCCCCAAGTCCCCTCCCTGCCCTCCCCCCCTTCCTCTTCTCTTTTGGGGAAAGAAAGTGAAGGAAAGACAGGAACTGCTGGGATCCCAAAAGGGTTGATCTTGGTCACGATGAGATGATTGACTGGAGAGAAAAAGTGTATCCATTAGATCCCGTACTGCCTCCTCCTGATATAGAATCCTAGAGTTGGAAGTGACCCCAAAGGCCATCCAGTCCAATCCCCTGCCATGTAGGAAGGCACAATCAAAGCACTCCCAATGGATAGCCTCTGCAGAAAAGCCTCCAGAGAAGGAGAATCCACCACACTCCCAGGCAACCTATGCCACTCCTCAGGAAGTTCTTCCTAATCTTTCAGTTGAATCTTTTCCCTTGCCATTTGAAACCATTGCTCCCTTGTGTCCTGGTCTCTAGAACAGCAGAAAACCAGCTTTCCCCCTCCTCCTCAATGGGACACCCTTTTAATTTTTGAAACATGGTTCTCATGTTCCCTCTCTACCTTCTCTTCTTCCAGCTAAACATCCGCCAGGAGGAAAGGAGGAAGGAAAAAGAGAAGGATGGAAGGGTGGAAGGGAATGGAGGGAGGGAGGAAAGAGAGAAGGAAGGGTGAAAGGGTGAAAGGAAAGGAAGGATGGAAAGAGAAAGGGGCAGGGAAGGGAGGGGGGAGGGAAGGAGGAAGGAAGGAAGGAAAGAGGGAAGGAAGGAAGGATAGGATGGCGTGAGAGAGGAGGGCCTGAGAAAAGAGCCCAAGGGCTGCATCTGACCTCCAGGCCTGGGTTTGCCCATACTTGATTTATACTTGATATCATTGTTCATATTATTTATTCTTTGTGACTTTTTATAGGTACACTTTCAAACCAAATGAAGATACTGTATATGCCATTTTTTTGAACTGGCCAACTTCAGGAACTCTGTTGCTTGGTGAACCAAGGGGTGTTCTTGGGAAGACAAAGGTAAGGGATATGTGCCTGTTAAAGGGTGGCTGAGTTTTAAAAGAAATACTGTTAAGCATGTTTGTCAAAACATGGGATAAAAGCAATGAAGACTCTTCTTATGGTAATAGTCATGGCTAGATAGTCATACAAAGTATTCAGAGCGAGTATCATGGGTGTCATCCATCACTCTCGATTTGTACAGTAAACACATCTATAGGAGAACCACTAAAAATTGATCTATTACAGTATCATGTCCCCAAACTTCCTTATGTGTAGGACTATAACTTTAAATCATAGCCTTTTCCTCAGAAACTGAATGGCTTAGCATGAATACTTACAGACCATGAGGAATTGCAAGACAGTTACCAGAAATCCAATCGCAAGAGATAACAATGGGCCCTTCCACATGATCATATAACCCAGAATATCTAGGCAGATAATCCAATAATCTCTGCTTTGAATGGGATTATTTGTGTCCACACTGCTATATAATTCAGTTCAATGTGGATTTTGTACAGTTGTATAGAAGGGGCCTATGACAGTGTTTATGTGTGGCTACTGTATAGGTGGGCTGGATTTAGCTATGCCTTGAAATTACAAGTGCTTTGATTGTATACAGCAGCAGGGATCCTACAGTTGTATACTGTACTCTCTGCACTTGCAATTTTCTTTTGGAGGATAAAGCTGTTAACTCCAAGCCATCTATTTCTCAAAAACCTGGCTTTGGGGGGGGGGGGGGGGGGGGGGGGGGTGGATTTTGCAAATTGGATCTGGGACAATGTGGCCTCAATTTGGGAAACTCAGAGAAATGTGCCTTAGAAATCTACAGATTGACATTATAATTCAAGCTGAAACTAAGGTGTCATTGCGCAAGTGGGCTTTCTTGTATACTTAAAGCCATAGGCCATAATGAAAGCATGACACTAAAACTGACTGAGTCATTCTGATGTCTGGGGCCCCTCTACAATGATAATTTAATAGTTCAATACTGCATCAGCCAGACAAATTCCCACAAAATGTGAATCAGTGCTCTGTGGTTCATGTAATCACCATCCACCCCTCAAACTGGTTCCAGGATTTCCTATGTAATCATCTACATGGAGAAACCATTTTCTTCAATACTGGTTTGAAACTGCATTAAATGGTCACTGTAGATGGGGCCTTGTTTTCTTGAAGTTACATTAAGATCTAGTGCTCTTTAGTGTCAACAAATCTTTGAAACAGTACTTCTGTTTAATAATGTCTTTTTAATTTCAGGTGACATTGCTAGGATATACAGAATCATTGCCATGGTTTTCTTTAGTGAAAAAAGGAATGGTAGTGGCTATACCTCCGTTGTCATTTATGAAGTTTCCACATCAGTGGGGCTGGACTCTAGCACTGACTCACGTTTCTTAGTCAACAACAGAATTTTAACTATATTAAGACTTTTTTGTGGATAATCAATCCCCCATCACTGTTGGGTATGTGCATGGGGGGGGGGGGGTGGTAGGGTCAAGATGATTAATATGAAATAGAAAAGATGTAATGCATTGATCTTGGTCCATAATCAACTTTTCCAGACACCTTTCAAAGTAAACCCTTATGAAGTACTTACAGCACATATCAAGAATGGCAAGGTAATGGAATTAAAACAATAGTATTCTTGAATTTTAGAGGTTCACAAAAGAAGTAAAAAAGTCAATTTTGCATAGTGTTGGGATTGCTGCAGAATTTTAGACAAAAGAGTTAGGATACAATTTCTCCCCTGTTGTGTCTCAAAATAAACTGGGTGCACTTCATGCTTTGTATGTCGATGCATAGATTTTAGTTTCTTAAAAAATAAATAAAAACCAAGCGCTCATAGAATCCTATCCTTGTCTACACAGAAGCTAAAATTTTCATGAGGTTCAGTGGAATTTGCTCCTGTGTCTGTCTGTTATTGCAACCTTAATCTTGTCAAAAAAGCAATGAGATTTAATCACACTTAACTACCTTCATCAATTGAAATAAAAGCTATAGAACCACAAGGTAGAGGGATCCATAGGGGCATGTAGCCCAGCTCCTGTCAGAATACACAACCAAAGCACCCAAGAGATGCCCATTCAAACCACAGTTGAAAACTTCAGAAGGTAGATCCCCCATTCTCCCAGGCCATCTAGTCCATTATGGAACAGCACTTGCCACCGGGTTTGTCTAAAGTTTAGTTTGGGGGTGGGTAAGCTGAATCTGCTAGTCGGTGTTCTAATTCCTGGAGCAGCAGAAAACAGGGCTGCTCCATCTTCTAAAAGAAACCTCTTCAAATATTAAAGATAGCATATCACCTCTCTGTTCGCCAAGCTGTACATATCCAACTCCTCATATGGCTTGGTTTCAGATATTGTACCATGTTACTCCACCTCTGGACACATTTCAGTTTGTCAATATCCTAACTTGAATGATGATGCCTAGAAATTGATACAGTAGTCCAGATAAGATGTGATGAAAGCTGAACAGTGGGATTGTAATTTCCCTCAATCTAGACTGTGCTCTCACTGCAGTCTAGAATTGCATTGGCCTTTGAAACTATTCCATCACACTTGTCTCATGATTAAGCATGTGGCCAGACCGACAATACTTTTTACATGTACAGCTGCCAAGCCAGGTGTTACCAATCCTGTATTTGTGCATTTCAGTTCTGTTATTTATCACATTAGATCCTCCTATTAATTTGGTATCATCTGCCAACTTGATAAGTATGTGCTTTATCCCATCAAACAGAACTTACTGGTACCCTAGTAGTCACATCACTCCAGGCTGAAGAGGAAGACTTTCGGTTCATTTGTCAACCAATTGCAATTATCTTAAGAGGAGCAGGGTCTAGCTGATGCTTTATAATTTTTTAAGAGAATATCTAGGGGACTGAATTAGAACTATATTAGAAAGTCAGTGGAATAAGCACTGTGTGTAAAGTTGTCTAACAATGGCAGCTATCGTACACAAGTTACAATTTCTTTGCACATGCTAGTTGCTGTAGCCCTGGATTTTCAAGTAAGAATTTCAATACATCTTTTGTACAGCTCATCTGGTTTGTGATGTTTTCAAGACTTTTTTATAATGTTGATGATTTGGTCATGTATGCTCTTAAACAAGAGTAAGAACAATTGAGCACTGGAACTATGCCCTCAAAACTGAAATGTTCTTCTGTGAACAAATATGGTATATCAAAGCAAGGCATAAAAAAATTAAACACTTCTTTTGGGGTTTTGAAATGACCTGTATTTCTTTTCTTACAAAAATTAAACACTTTATTTTTCCCATTGCAAAAAAATAAAATAAAAAACAAAAAACTCATAAACGGGAACTATGGCATTATTTGGGATGTTGAGTGTTTACACACACACACTTTTTAAAAATAGTTTTATTTTTATTTAAATGTTTCATTAGGTTTCAATCAATACAAGTTAAAATATTTACAAAATGAATGTGTACAGCAGTTGCTGTTTGTAAACAGCATAGACATAATATTTGCTAGAAACATCAGCTCAACTCTGCAACAGGAGAACACTGAGCATTGCACTGGTCAAAAAATAGCTCCTCAATTTATATTCTCAATTCTAGAGGCCCCAATCTAGAGAGTCTAAAGCATGCATGGGCAAACTTGGACCCTCCAGGTGTTTTGGACATCAACTTCCACAGTTGCTAACAGTCTCAGGCCCTTTCCTTAAGCAGCTGAGGGGGAAAAGGAAGGGGACTGAGGCTGTTAGGAATTGTGGGAGTCCAAAACACCTGGAGGGACCAAGTTTGCCCATGCATGGTCAAAAGCACAGAAGTCAATATGTTCCTTCCAAACACTTTCTACACTCAGTTGGCCAGGAGACCTGAAGGTGAGACAGTAGGTGAACAAGAGAACTAACTGCAAACTGCTTGCATTCTTTTAATATAATAGGAAATGAGCATTTGATCTTTCACAGCTTAAGTAGCTGTACACAGAACATACAGGCCAAATTTTGTGTTTAACAACTGATGTTTATTAAGAAAGAGTTAACTTAGAAGTTGTTCGTGCCAGTGGAAAAAGAGGTTTCAAGCTCATTTGCTAGATATGTTTCATCCATTGCCAATCCTGGTGTGTTCTGTTACTGCTGATTTTTGAATGGAAGTTTGTTTCATAGGCCATGCACTATTCCTATATCGGGGAAATACTAGCAAAACATCACCTCTTTTTCTTCCTCACCCACCTTCCCTATTGAAGAACAGAAGCCTGACTTTGACGTCTTGTTATATATCCAGCAAGTTGTTAAACAGCCAAGATTGCCTTCATACAAAGGCATACCATACAATGATTTTTTCCAATAAAATTTTTACCTGTCAGTTGATATTTTCATCAACATAAAATGTAGAATTTGTATTTCTTTAGAATGACTTTTTGCTGGCCTAATAATCCTACATTTTTCTGATAATGAGATTTTTTAAAATAAAATATTCACAATGATGGAGCACTATTAATTTGTATCACATGTGCCTCATTTCTGTAATTGCTGAGGAGTACTGAAAGCTTCATACACATTAGCAGCAAAATTTTTCACTTGTTCCATCATTAACAGGTCCTGGAAACAATATACAACGACTGATTATTTAATTTTGATTTTTAAAACACAATAAACGAATAGCATCAACGAGCATTTATGACACAATCACACAATGTGTTATACAGCACTAAGTGTTTAGAATCAAGTTGAAGATACTGTATATACTCAAGTATAAGTTGAGTTTTTCAGCCCTTTTTTAGGCTGAAAAAGCCCCCCTCAGCTTAAACTCGAGCCAGCGTTATTTATTGTTTTACTCTGTTATTATTATTATTATTTTTATTACTACTACATTTATTATTTTACTCTATTTTTATCACATTTATTATTTTACTCTATTATTATTGGAAGGATACGTAAGCACATTTACATTGAAGAAGGTTAGAATAATGGTTTAATCAGAGTTGGACAGTCTTATCTTAAATTACAGTTTTATGTAAATATTCAAAAACATTTATCCTACTGATGCCTCAATTAATGTAATTTTATTGGTTTCTATTTTTATTTTGAAATTTACCAGTAGCTGTTGTGTTTTTTACCCTTGGCTTATACTCAAATTCATACGTTTTCCCAGTTTTTTTGCGGCAAAATTAGGTGCCTCAGCTTATATTCGGGTCAGCTTATACTTGAGTATATATGGTACTTTACAAACCATGTCAGAGATGCAATTGAAACATGACAACAGAATACAAAAAATATACATGCTGACTGTTACAACTGGATCACATCCAAGTGCAGTCCCAAGAGTATTCTACATCAAGCAAATCTCAAGATATTTTGATCATATTTTACTTTCTTGGCCTGACTCTTGTTAATATATTTTCAACCAACAGTGGACTTCCTTTATGTTTCTAAATTTCCTCTTCCATATAAAATACTGGCCATTCTGTTAGTACTATATCCACCTTACTCTTATCATAACACACAATAATACAATGTCTGTAACAATAATACAAAATGGGCTGATGGAATGCTTTCCCTAAGTATCTGAAAATCTTCACTTGATTTGGGATGCAAAATTATTTTGGTTTTTTGGCCTTACACTGTTTTGAATTGGTTTTATGACTTCATGAAAGCAAAATGCAGAAACAATTGTAGACATATCTTAAATTGGACTTAAAATAATGAGTTGACAAAAATGTCTTCTTACCTGCACAAAGTGACTAGGAGTTTCACTGCAGATTGAATGGATCTGCCCATTTATTATAGGAATTATCTTGGCTAAAGGAAGACTGACACTAGAAAGACTAGGCAAGAAAATGGAAGTGAAACATGGTTACATTAATATAAATGTGGAAGACCATATTGTTAACTATTTACAGAACAGTAAGTGCTGACTATCTGCACCAGAAACTTACAAGTCAGACATTCTTCCCCTATGTAGCTGATTAACTCTGGACTTTAGCATCTCATATACAAGAGTGTTAGAGCCTTTCCACCACTGATTTAAATTTTTCATATACAGGCAGTCCCCGGGTTACAAACATCTGACTTCCAAATGCCTCATAGTTCAGAATGGGGGTGAGACAACAGGAAGTGAGAGAAGTCTACCCCTCGGAAGGGAAATTCACTCCTGGAAGAGTTATCATGGGGAAAAGATGTCTCCACTGAAGCTTTATCACCAAATCCTTGTTTTCACAACAAGCATTTTTTTTCAAAATCAGGGACAGAGAGGGGTGAAATCTTCTGAACGGGCACAGACAGCAAAACAAACATCCCAGGGGTGTTAACCCTTCCCTATGTTATCCAAAGCTAAAATAAATATATATTTTGGCTAGAGTTACATAGGGGCTCAAGGCAGCTAATAACATGATACAAATCAATAAAAATGTAAAACAAAGCAAATACAAAAATATAAATATTTGTGTCATGGATATAGAGTTAAAACACAGTTAGCACAATTAAAATTACTACCACTACTACTACTAACAATCATATTTTAAAGCTACTCTTTCCAAGTATTGTGTTACATTTCTACAACCTAACTAGAATGGAATATTCTAAAACAATGAGCCAAAGGAAATACTTAAGTTTTGATAACTTATATCTACAGATAGGTTGACTTCAGTGGAATCTTAAGTAATGTCTTTTTATTTGGTCAAAAAATTAATTTCTTTAACACCAGTTAGGTATACATCAGGCTTCTGCATAAATTCATTTTTATATAGAAATGAACCTTCTTTCAGTATGTATTTTAAAATAATGTTACCTGTTCATGGAAGCGCTATGACAAATATCTTGCTCAGTAGGTTTGAAGAATTCTGCTACATTGTCCAGTAATCTACTAAATCCTCTATTTAAGCATGAAGTCAAAACTCTATTAAAATCTGGACTGGAGTAAATAAAACAAACCCATTATTATGAATGCTCTGCTGGGACACATGTCATCATCACCATCATTATTATTAGAGGTAGACTGATACTTGATAATGTCCATTCATATTGGGTCCTCCCCTTTTGTCCTCATACACATAGGCAACTTTTACATTGCCATATAATGTAAATTCAGAATGCAGTTTAACTGACTTGAATTGTTATATTTCAGTATAGATGGGGTCTTAAACAGTATTTTCAAACATGCTGCAACAAAATTATCCAAGGCAAAACAACAAAAGCATTTAATAACATCAATTCAAACAAAATGAAATGGAAGCATCAGAAAGGCTGGCCTGTTTCCACCACATAAATGCGTATTTTTACAATGTTTTGAGTTAAGGAGGAAGCAGGCATTTCTAAGTAGAAATGAACTCACAAGGTTATAAAGGGATCAGTTATATGACAGCCCTCCAAATTTCAATCCACGTGAATTTTCCTTATGTAAGCAAGAAGTTTACCACAAATATAGGTTGTTGCAATAGTACAACTACATACCTTTCCAACATATCTCTTGTTTCATTAAGTAACTTAATAGTAGTAATATCTTTTTCTGTAAGTCCAGTGGCCTAGAAAGATAAGTATAAAAGCACTTTGGTGAGATTTGATTTATTTAGGATAATTTGGCTTTGGGAGGATGGGTTCTTTTTTGGATTTATCCAGTTAAACGATAATCATTAAGTGATAGTTAAATAAAAAAACACACAAACCCTAACTATGTTAATCAATGGAAATACCTGGGAAGCTAAAGGATTCTCCTCATCTGGCATCATGTAATGACAGAGCAGAGAATGGGATCCAGTTTCTTCTGATATGAGATTATCTTCAGGCTGTTCTACTGCCCTCCTTATTTCTCTAAGCTTCTCATCCAAATCCAAGAGGGAAAGAGCATGTTTAAGTGAAACACTGCAAGAAAGAGAGTTAATTAATAGTAATAAATAAAACTTCATTTATATTCTGCTATCTCCTAGAGGGGATTCAGGGCGGATTCCAACAAACAAAAAGCCAAACATTAAATGCCTCAGTACAACAACAAATACAATCATTTAATAGCCCAAAATATTACATTATATGTTATATGAAAATAATATATAACATGTCATCTTCTATAAATTAAATAAAATGTAACCTATCAAAAATTATATCTAACATAAAACCTAAACATAAAACATCCACATTAATGTACAGAAGCCAATGAAGGTTCAATAAGATATGTGAGTTGATTGTGTGGCCAGTGATGTTAACTAGGCTAACATGATGTGACCAAATATTGATCACGTCAGTTACTTGTACCTCTACCAAATGCTTCATATACAGCACAAGCCCTGTATCAATGGGAGATACATCCTGGAATTAGGAGGCAAATAGGAAACTGGATAATAGCAAACTCAATTGAAAT